CAGTGCTGGGATTAAAGGCGTGTGCCACCAACGCCCGGCTGCAGACATTGTTCTTAACTGCTGCATCATCTCTCTTAATGTAGCCCAGATTAGCCTCAAACAAGATTCTCCTGCCTTTACTTCCAAAGTGCTAATATTACAGACCTGAAACACCATGCCTGGCCTCAACCCACATTTGTGATGTAAGTAAACTACATTGTTGAGAAAGGCATTAATCCCTCTGACCTAATCCCTTCTTAAAGGTCCCTCCACACCTCAACTCTTCCACTGGGGACCAGATTTCACCATGAGTTTGGGAAGGGACAAACCACATTAGAACCCCAGCAGGTGATGCCATAACAATTAGAGTCCTATGACGAATTTGGTGGGCCTCTTCCTCCTTCCTCCCTCCCTCCCTTAATTAGAGTCCTATGACGAATTTGGTGGGCCTCTTCCTCCTTCCTCCCTCTCTCCCTTCCTCCCTCCTTTCCTCCCTCCCTCCTTTCCTCCCTCCCTCCTTCTCTCCTTCCCTCATCTACCTACCTGAGACTTGGAAAGAAGCTGCAGATGTCAGGGCAGTGCACACCCACAGAGTTTATCAATGCTGTCTCAGGATCCATGGGGGAGAATATTTGGTAGAGCCATGGGTTGGTTTTACTCAGTGTCCAGAGTCCTGCCCCTTCCACTCAATCTCTTAGGATACTGTGGGAGACACAGAATAATTCTCTTCCATTCTCCAGGCTCATCTGTGATCTCATCCATGCTGAGCTGGGCACCTAGGGGCTGAACATCCTGGCCCTGGGTGATTCAGGCTCTCCTTGGCCGGGTCATGGGTGCTGCAGCCTGGAGGAGTGCTGTGGTGGGTCTTTGGAAGCAGGGCAGTGCTGAGTGGCAGCTCTCTGCTCATAGGTTAGTTTTGCTGAAATCTGAATGTCGGCCGTAGCAGCTTGGTGGCCCTTAGCTTCTTGATCTGGTGTCCCTTCTTTCTTGCATTTTCATTTGCAGGACGGATTCTTAAGTTAGGAAGGAGAGATCCAGTCTGGATTGATGTGCATTTATGCAGCACCCGCTGTGTCCCTGGGTCTGACCTGGATACAGCCACAGGTCTTGAAGAACAAGAGGCCTGGCCTTGCCCTTCAGGCATTTTGGGGAGGCTGCTTGGTCTAAGTGGGATGAGCTTCAGACTTACACTTCTGCACAGCGTGTCACCTTGAATAGGTGAGACCCCGCCCCCACCCCTCTGAGCCTTGTTTTGCTCATCTGGAAATGGGCTGATAGGAGGATTTGATGAGCTCAAGTGGAGCTGCCCTAGAACAGAGGGACCTGGAGAACAGAAGCCAGCAGGTGGCTGTGAGCCCTCCCACTTTGCCTTGTGTGTTCTGAAGTCCTCCGTGCTTTCAGCACATTTTAATCCCCACAGTTACCCTCTTCCTGCTTACAGAGGAGGAAACAGCTGAGAAGAGGGGATTTACCCAGGGTCATACTGCTAACACATGGCAACGCTAGGCTCTAACCATTGTACAACACAGCCTCCTTGCTGCAGGGAGGGAAACAGCTCTCAGCCCCGGGACTTTGCATGTCGAGTTTTCCAATGAGTGAAAACATTGTTTACCTAGTGAACTGGTACCCTGCTGTGTGCTGCTGATGGGCAGAGTTTTTTTGTTTTTTTTTGAGTGAAAACATTGTTTACCTAGTGAACTGGTACCCTGCTGTGTGCTGCTGATGGGCAGAGTTTTTTTGTTTTTTTTGTTTTTTTTTTTTTTGCTCCAGACAGCTCAAGAGGCAAGCACCAATCAGCTCTTAAACAGGAGGATGCTGGGACAAAGTTGGAGGTGGGGCTTGGAGGGGCTCAGTTCCTAGTGTTGTCTGAGCCCCTGTTTTCTTTGCTTCTAACCTGTAGTGCACAAACATCTGCCCAGCTGGCTGCAAATGTTTTCTGAGTAAGCCACATGAGCCCGTTCCGGGTCACAGAAGATGCTCTGTAGACTGGGGACTCTGGCCTTTCCTGCCTCCAGCAGCTGGGCTTGAAAGGCTCCAGGACCCACAGCCTGGAGAGTGTGGAGGGTATGGAGGGAACACTGACCCCTCCTTCCCAGCTTCCATTCACTTTGTCTTCCTATTCGCCTCGTTTGCTGGCTCTTCTTGCCTCTGTGCTGGCTGGGCCCCAGGGCTGCTTCTGTCCACTCCTCGTATATCTCTGCTTCCCTCTGTTCTTCCTCCTCCTCTCCCATCTGAGCCCTCCCACCCCCTGCATGGTCACGTGGGGGCAACCCGGGATTTAAACTTAATCTGCTGGGCGCTCAGCCCAGCGCCCTTGCTTTAGCGTGTTAGTGCCTTGGTACACAGCTGAGCTGATCTTGGTACTTTGGGGAGGGGGGCTGTGGGATATCCACAGGCCCCCCTCCAAGAACCTAGGGCTGGCAGAATCCCTGCAGCCCCAGCTGGCATTGGAGATTGTGATCCAGGTGGGTTCTGAGTGCTGTGTCTACCCTGTCCAGGGAGGGCAGAGCAGGGTAACCGACCTGATAGGAGCCGGGAAAGGTGGGTGAGCGGAGGGAGGTGTGGGGCTGGTATACAGGGGCAGCAACTTGCAGCTCCTGGGGCCACACTGGCCAACTGCTAAACTCCCTGATCCCAGTGCACAGTAGTGGGGGAAGGGCCCCTCATGGACTTTAGGGATTACTGGCCTCTGGCACAGAAAAATCCTCCTTACCCACGGTGGGAGCTGGACTGGAGCCCCATCATCCTATGCTGCCTCCAGTGTGGTGCCTGAAAACCTTCAGGTCCTGCCTAGAGCACAGTCAGATCTAGGAGAGACTCCTAGCAGGAGCTCTTTGCAGTTTACCCTTCCTTCAGGCATCAGCTTCATTTGAGTTCTCTAGGACTTGGGCCTCAGGACTTGCCCAAATGCTCTCCTCCCACAGACACTGGAGAGCTGTGTCCTGAGACCAGACCAAGAAAAGAGCCTGAGTGTGCAGAGTCTAGCCCAGGACTCCCAGGGTGCCAGCCTGCCAGTCTGTATCAGGCAGATCATCACCCGAAGCCTCTCTCAGCCTGAGAGCCCAGGTGCCACCTCCCTACCCTGTCCATCCAGGGTCCCTTCTTCCCGTTTTTTCTTCTCAGCCGCAATAGATGATACAGGTAGCTCTCTCTCTCTCTCTCTCTCTCTCTCTCTCTCTCTCTCTCGTGTGTATGTGTGTCTGTGTGTCTGTGTGTATGTGTGCGCGTGTCTGTGTGTGTATGTGTGGTGTGGTGTGTGTGTCATATGCACACGTGTGCAGATGTGTTTCCTCTGAGCCAAGGACACCGAGGAGGACACTGGCTTCCTGCACTGTCACTCTCTACCTATTCCATTACAGCAGCGTCTCTCACTAAACCTGGAGCTAGGCTGGCAGGCACCAAGTCCTGCTGCTGAGTCTCCTGTCTCTTCCCTGTGTAGCTCTTGGATTACAGGTGCCTGAGGGGCCATAGCCAGCTTTGTGCGTGGGTGCTGGGATTTGAATGTAGATAATCTTGTGTAGCAAGTGCTCTTATGCACTGAGCCGCGTCCCCAGCCCTGCCTTTCCTGACTGAATACACATAGGGAGACAGGCACAGCTCTGTGATGGATGGATCTGCTTCACAGAGGAGGAAATGGAGACTGAGATGCAACTTGCCCAAACTTATTTTATTTATTCCCCATGTGGCACAGCTAGAGGAGAAGGCGGGGCAAACCCTCCCTGCTCACTGCTTCAGGTTTGAACAGCAAATACTGCATTTCCTACCAGGGATGTTGTAAGCTGTCTGAGGCTGAGGTTACATGGAGGCATCTCAGCTCAGACCAGGCTCCTGCAAAGGCCTGATGGCTTGTGCACAAAAGCTGATGGCTGCAGTTGCTCCTGGTATGTGGCATGCATGGCCTGGTCCTGCAGCCTGCCTGAGTGCCTGGTTAATTGGTGGTTCGGGGTGCTGGTGTGCTTTGTGTCCCTGCTACAATCTGACTCAGATTGCAGATCAGGACTGGGCGGTCTTTTTGAGTGGACCAGGGATGCTGAGTCTCCCCAGAATTGGGGAGACTTAATGAACCACCCCAAGGCCTACAGTGTGTATTCATGCCCTTCAAGGTCAAAGTAGACCAACTCGAGTGGGTTTCTCTTCTGGCCTTTCTCCTCTTCACAAGCTACTCTCTACTGTCTTAAATCCTGGTGATGAGAGAACTGGGCCGTATGGTGCTTGTCCAAAATCTCAGCACTCAGTGCGTGGAGGGAGAGGACCATGAATTCCACGCCAGCCTAGGCCACACAGGCTACCTTACCTAAAAACAAAACAAGGAAACAATCCTGCTGGTGGTGGCGCACACCTCTAATCCCAGCACTTGGAAGGCAGAGGCAGGCAGATCTCTGTGAGTTTGAGGTCAGCCTGGTCTACAGAGTGAGTTCCAAGACAGCCAGGGCTGTTTCTCAGAGAAACCCTGTCTCCACCTCCATCCCCCCCCCACACACACGGAAACAAAGCCAAGTTATGAGAAGCCCTGATTTCAAGTAAGGCTTGACCACTTTCCTGGCATGGTCTGATTACTGTTCCACCCATTTAACAGATGAGTAAAATTGAGGCCCTGGGTGGGTGGGTACAGAAAGACATTCTCTTGACTCCTAGCTAGTGCCTCCCTCCTGCATGTTCTGGGGATGTGGCTACACAGGCTGTAGTTGTTTCTATACATCTCTAGCTCTTGGCCTCTCTTGCCAGCCTTCCTGTTCCTCATCTCTCTTGTCCCCCAGGTGCTACACACACACACATGCCCAGGGTCCTCCCAGGGCCGAGGCCCATCATCTTGCCCCAGGAATGAGTAGAACTCCCATTTGGGTTGGTGCCCTTCTGCACTAGACAGAAATCAACCTCAGCTCCTTGTCCCTTGTCAGCCCCTCTCCAGGTCCCACAGATGGCTTCGCTGCTGTCACTGCAGGAAGAGAACCAGCTACTGCAGCAGGAGCTGTCCCGTGTGGAGGACCAGCTGGCCCAGAGCCGTGCTGAGCGTGATGAGCTTGCTATCAAGTACAATGCCATCAGTGAGAGGGTGGGTGCTGCTGGCCTGGGCTTGGGTGGGGTGGGGGAATGTCCTGATCAGGCCCACTGACTATGTAAGGACGGGCACCTGGTTCAGACTGCAGCTCTACCGGCAGCTCTACTGGCCTTGAGCTCATGGTGACCTTGGAGAGTTGGTGGTGGCAGAAGGTTGAGAAGACTTGGGATGGAGTGTGTGTGCAGATGGGTGAGGATAATGGTTATAACAGTAGCTACCATTGGCCAAGCATGGTGGCGCACACCTTCAATCCCAGCACTTGGGAGGCAGAGACAGGCAAATCTTTGTGAGTGTGAGGTCAGCCTGGTCTACAGAGTGAGTTCTAGGACAGCCAAGGCTACACAGAGAAACCCTGTCTCAAAAAACAACAAAACAAAACAAAAAAGGTACTTAACATTTATGGAATGCCTACTATGTGCCAGAAATATACCAAGTCCTTTATGTTTAATGTGAAAAGCAACAAAACAAAACAAAAAAGGTACTTAACATTTATGGAATGCCTACTATGTGCCAGAAATATACCAAGTCCTTTATGTTTAATGTGAAAAGCAACAAAACAAAACAAAAAAGGTACTTAACATTTATGGAATGCCTACTATGTGCCAGAAATATACCAAGTCCTTTATGTTTAATGTGAAAAGCAACAAAACAAAACAAAAAAGGTACTTAACATTTATGGAATGCCTACTATGTGCCAGAAATATACCAAGTCCTTTATATTTAATGTACCAAAGTTTGTACCATTGTAATACCCATTTAACCAAGGAGAAAATAGAGGCCCAGAGAGGGAAAGCACCATGCCTGGGGTCACACAGTTAAGATAAGAAACCTGGTGTCCTGGTCCCCAGACCAGGACCATATATTGCCTTTGTTTTGGGGGTGTGCAGAGATCCTGCTGGCTCCTATAGCATCCACGGTGTGCTAGTGGGAAACCCTGCCTGTATGGAGCCCTGTGTATTGTCTTGCATGTGTTTCTGTACACCCTCTGCTTGTGGAGTGTATCCTGGTACTGCCTGCTCAAACAAGCCTCTGACTTGTTGGGGCTTGCCAGGGAGCAGAATGGGGGCCCCATGGTGGTCCCCTATTTGAGGACATTACAGAATTCATTTCTTGGAGTCTGCAGGGGGTGCAGAGATAGGATGGCAGGAGTACTGGGTTGGTACTGTTGATGGGCCAGCATCAGCCTCCTGCTGGTTAGACCCTTCTTGACCCAGGGCACAGTGCCAGTCTCCTGGGGACTGACTCAGGTGCCAACTTCAGCAACTGAAGCTTACACTGCCCCCTGATTGACAAGGAAGGGGAGGAGAGGTAGGGGTAGCAGGTCCCTTCTCTTGTGGAACATAGCTACTGGAGGCTCTGCAGTGGGGGGCGAGGGCTGTATCCATCTAGACCTTCCCCTCATATATTGGCACAAATTGCCTGGACTTTAATTGCTCTGTGTCTGAGAGAGTACAGGTAAGACCCCATCTGGAGGCAGGGACTGGATGAAAAGGACCTTGAAGGCCTTTCCTGGAGGGGGGTTATCCACAGAGAGCATAAGAACCCAGCAATCACCTTATTACAGGCGGAGAAACTGTCCTCTCTAGACGAGTGTGCTGGGCCCAAGGTCAGTGGTGAAGCTGGACAGGAACCACACTGGTCCAGGGCTGTGGTTATATGACATATTCCCTGACATTCACTTTAACCTGTGCCTGCAGGTGACAGGTACCCTGTGGCCATGGTGGACTAGGTTAGGGGCATCTAGTGAAGTTGTTCTCATCCTTCAAACCCCACGTTCTCCTGGGATAGAAAGTGTAGCAAGGGTCAAGATTCATGCTCTATTCATTGGATGTCCTGTGAGAAACTGAGGCAGGACTCCCAGAGGCAACCCTCAAGTCATAATGTACCTCAGTACCCTCCAAGAAACAGGGGTAGGACGAGGTAGGTGGGAAAGAGGCAGTGGCCTTATCCCTTGGCTCTGGAGAACAGATTCCCTGGGTTCCCCTCAGTGTCCATGGCAACCTGCGCTTAGTGAGTTTAATGGGGCAGGAGAGCAGCAGTTGCTAAGGGAGACAGTAAACTACTTTCATCCATTCTGTGGCAGCCTCCTTCCCATTGGGATTGCAAGTCACATCAAAGGCTGTTTTGTAAAGGGCAGAGTTTATGGAGAGAGGTGAGGTATGGCCTACAGTAGCCTGGCACTGAGCATTGGGGACATGGGGACATGGGGACATGGTCCCTAGAAACTGGCCCAAACCCCTCCACACCACAGTCGCCAATAGAACTGGGATCACATGGATGTTCAAAGCACACACAATGCAGGCCACAAATAGACTCCACATAAAACACAACACATAGAAACAATCTACCCTGTGGCTACACTCAGACTCACAGACTACATGTAGCCAGATGTCACACGGTCCTGCCCTGGCACAGAACAATACACTGGTGAACAATTGCAGCACCTCTGCATACGGTAACCGACATTGACACTCATACAGTTACCGACATTCACACATATATGGTAACTGACATTCACATATATGGTAACTGACATTCACATATATGGTAACTGACATACAGTAACCGACATGCACATATACAGTAACTGACATTCACACACACAGTAACTGGATTCACACATATATGGTAACTGACATTCACATATATGGTAACTGACATACGGTAACCAACATGCACATATACAGTAACTGACATCCACACACACAGTAACTGACATCCATACATGGTAACTGACGTACACACATATGGTAACCGACATACACATATATGGTAACCGAATTCACATTTACAATAACTGACATCCACACACACAGTAACCAACATACACACATATGGTAACCAACATACACATAAAGTAACCGACATACACACACACCCAGTAACCAACATTCACACACACAGTAACTGACATACACATACACAGTAACCGACATACACACAGACAGTAACTGACATCCACACACACAGTAGCCAACAAATATACATACAGTAACCAACATACACACATACGGTAACCGACGTGTACACACACACACACACACACACACACACACACACACACACACAGTCACAGTGAC